TATAAATTAGCATGTTGCTAGTATGTTTGTTAGGATGTTTCTAGCGTGAGCTGGTATGTTGTTAGTATGTTCAATGTAAAGTTGTAAGTTGATAGGTCATCAGTGGTTGGCAGAGTGGTAGTCTGAGTTAAATGAGCGTAACCTTAAGTCTGTATGACAGTCCGGTGGAAAGTTACGAAGTCATACATTTTGGTCCAGTGTGAAGTCAATGGGACTCACAATGGGAGTCAGTTTTTGGAAAATCGTTAGTTGGACCAGTTAGAAAAGATATAGCAACCCGAGTCAGAGCAGTTTGGAGGTTTAGAGTTAGTTTGGTAGTTGTAGCATGAGCGGTCTACAAGGAGAAACAAATAGAAATCAGTCTCAGAAGAGGAATATGACGTGTATGTAGTATAACAGTATGTGGCTTTCTCGAGTCACCACAATGAATGACTGTATTTCCATTAGTTAACGTTAACATGAGGAAATGCTGTAGGAAGTGAAGTTTATCTATAAACTAACGTCAAGAGCATCACCTGCTTATGATTGACCACAGCCGATCCCGCATTATTCAATCTATGATTGACCAATCAGACGATTCCTAAGCCACTATAAACACCCTGAGCTCCATATCACAGCCATCTTCATTTAGAAGAATCCTCCCTTCCACCTGTACTACTCCTCCTCCTCCTTTCATAGATGGGTGGCACGGTGGCCCAGTGGTTAGCACTGTTGCCTCACAGCAAGAACGTCACTGGTTCTAGTCTTTACCAAGCCAGTCAATGTTTCCATGCAGAGTTTACACGTTTTCCCTGTGCTCACGTGGGTTTCCCCCATGGTCCTCCACCTTTTCATCACCGCGGACCGATCAATGGTTCTAAAATTTTACCACGGAACTGGGGGATTTGTAGGTTGCTAGGCAACCATCAACATTAATGTCACTACTATACAAGTTTTATTTCTAAAGAGAAATGACAAAGCACAGCAGTGTTTGGGTGTTCTGTGTTTGTCAGATAACTAGTCTGCCGAAATGTGTATGATCTTTACAAGCTGGAGCTGATCGCTCAGTTCTTGTCACGTGACTCGCGGTGCTCTTCATTCAGTGTGTGCGTCTGTAAGGCGCGTGCGCGTCAAGCCTGTGCAAACGCACTAAGTACAAAAGCCTCGTCATTTCATGAGGTGCGCAACACGGCGCCAGGTGAAAGTCAGCCGTCACGCCGCTTGCACACACAGGCTGCACACCTCCGCTGGGAATAACGAACCTGCAGGAACTCTAGAAGAGATGCGATATACGAACCGCCCCTATAAGGCCACCGTCATCTGCAATCTCCAGCAGTTGATCTGCCTGCACAGATATGCTGCATTCACCTGATTTGTTTTGACTAATGGGTTGCGGATCCATTGCAGATAATAAATAACACAGAGATAAATAATGATTTCTTGTGCGGCCTGGTACCAATTGATCTATGGACTGTAGGGATGTGCGGAGCAGCCCGGGTATTTGTATTTGTATTTGTTGAGGGGGAAAAGTATTTGTATTTGTATTGGTATTTGTATTCGAGTAAAATTCAAAATGGCGCAAAAATATATATTTTTTCTATTACACTTCTAATTTACGTTATAGTGAAAGTATTGTTTAATTATACCCATTATATAAATTATAGATATGCAATATTGGCTGTTGTTTTTGAACATGTGATAAGAAATGTCATTGAAAAGAAAATAACATAGAAGCCATTATCTCATCCATGGTTAAACCAACAACTAATAAAATACCATTGTGAATATTATGAACCCCACCACCACCATTCTTGTTGAAGTCACTGAATAGACAGAATAAAAACAAATAATACTTCAAAAAACTGTTCTTCTTCTGAAAGAACTTTTTTCCAATGGACAGAATTCCAAAAACTAATATTAACTAAATAAATCTAAATAAAACCCTGCCTGGGAGATCTGGCAGAACAAAAGTATTCTATATATTACTAAAAGATACAGCCCTGCTATTGTCATCTGCCTGCCACAAAAAAAGACACAAAGTTTGTTTGTTTATTTAGAGATATCTGCAAATATTTTTCAATGGAAGTCAATGGAGGAATATGACTAGTCAGTCATAATATATTTGCAGATATTTCCAATCTGAATTATAATTATGACAAGTCAAAATATAATTAGAGATATCTCTAAATATATTTATGGATAGTCTCAACAAGGTTTAAATGCTAAAACGGCTTGCCATACGCACAGTGGCACAGTGGAGATTTCTCTAGTTATATCCTTTCAGTGGTTTGTTATGCAGTGACATGCAGTCAAATATTTCGCCAAACAGTCCTTAGGGATACGGTGACACACAGTCAGATATTTTACCGGACAGATCCGCCACTTTTGGCGCTCATAAACAATCATAAAGCTCTCGTGCTGCTGGAATGAGGAGGTCTGCTGAAGGCGCGCAGCTGACGTGCAGTGAGGGGTTGCGTCTTTAATAAACTACGGCAGTTTACGATCACTGAACAGTAAGAATGATTAATAAATCCATATCAAACAGCCCCTTAAAAGTCACGTCTCGCTTTCAGTTTCGGGCTTTGGCGCGTTTTGCACTGAGCGTGTGTCTTTCTTTCTCTCTCTCTCTCTCTCTCTCTCACTCACTCACTCTCTCTCTCTCTCTCTCTCTCTCTCTCTCTCTCTCTCTCTCTCTCTCTCTCACTCACTCACTCACTCACGCGGGCATGCACTGTGGTCTCATGAGGAAACGCTGCTTTTTGATATAGTGTTTTTCTTGCTCCCGAATACAAATAATTTTTCAAGTATTTGTTCGAATCAAGTATTCGTAAAAACACGCTATTCGTGCCTTTCCGAATACCGTATTCGGGTTCGGCTCCACCCTTAATGGACTGGTACCAGTCCCTGGCCCGGGGGTTGAGGACCACTGCTGTATGTTATTTCAGTAAACCCAAATAAATTTTGACCAGCAGTCTTTGCTAATTGACCGGTGTGGTCTGCAGGTTTGGTGCGGTCATCACAGTTATGATCCATACTCATGGTCATTTATTGTTTATCTCCTTGTGTGATTTCAGTTAGATGTTGGGGGACTGTTCTGCACACACTCCACCTGTAAAATCAATACCCCGATTAGTGATTGATCTTTACCTTGCCGATGATCATAGCGGAGGTGTTTTCGGAGAGTCTGGGGTAGGTGTAAGAGCTGTAGGAGCCCTGCGGTGGTGCTGCAGAGAGCGCACTGATGCTGTAGGGAGCGCCGCTGCTGCCGCTGCTGCTGCTGGGCTCCTGCAGACCCGAGCCGGACCGTGAGCGCTGCCGGAGCGCCGGCTGAGGACTGCCGTGGCTGCCGTAGGAAGATTTGGGCCGCTTGTGGAGCTCACCGAAGCCCCAGTCTGCATCTGGACAGCTGGTGTGATCGCTGCGGAGTGACAGGCGGGACGGCGTGCCCAGCGGAGCGTCCCTGTAGTCCAGGCTGGAGCCGCCCAAAGATGCGCGGTAGTCCCGCCGGCCCACCGGCCCCTCCCCGCAGAGCTGTGTCCGGCTCTCCAGGTACGCATGGTAATCCGGCGGCAGCCTGGCCCACTCCGAGGCCTTCTGCGGCATGGCGTCGGGGTAGAAGGGGCTACGGATGGGGCCGGGGCCGAGGCCGGGGTGTCCGTTTTGCCGCAGTGAGGAGCGCTGCCACTCCGCCTCCACACACACTCCACTGTCCAGATCGCAGGAGTAGCGGCCATACTGCCCAAAGCCGTTCTGCGCTCTGCTGCCCGCCGCTGCTGCCGCTGCCGCCGGACTTTCCCTGCGCAAAGAGTTGGAGCGTGACACCGAGATGCTGTCGAACTCCTCCAGCAGGCCGTTGATGGAGGCGTCTCTGGGTGCTCTGCTGCCCCGCACGATAGTCTGAACACACACACACAGAGAGAGAGAGAGAGAGAGAAGAAGATCAGGACTGCTGGAGGAGGAGATATACACACACTGGCTGCGTTTCCATCCACAGAGATGTATGCTCATTTTGGAACATCGCATAAACACCCTTGATGGAAATGCTAAGATGCACATAGATTTTGAAAATGCGCATTAAAAACTGATGCACATAACTGAGTCAAACGTTTCATCTGCATAAAGAACGACGGAAACACATTTACAGAATAAACTCCGGCATGCACACCAGTCACGTGATCCAGCTTCAACAGATCATATGAGAACAGAAATGGAGCAACATCCAGTGTTCTTTCGATATCTGACAGCACTTTATCAGACACATGTGGGGCGAAAACCTGACACATAGCTAAATATACAAACAGCCAAACACACACACACACACACACACACACACATATATATAAACACAATGTTTTTGAAGTGTTTCAGTCAGGTTTCAGGGCTCATCACAGTACAGAAACCGCATTAGTGAAAATAACCAATGATTTACTCTTAGCTGCTGACCGAGGGTGCGTCTCGCTATTAGTTTTACTCGATCTCAGTGCGGCATTTGACACCATTGACCACAATATCCTCATAAACCGCTTATATTCTACAGGTGTCCAGGGACAGGCTCTACAATGGTTTAAGTCATAACCATTATGACCGTTACCAGTGTGTGGATATTAATGGACGCCTCCACCAGTCAGCCCAGTGCAGTATGGGGTGCCTCAAGGATCAGTTTTAGGCTCTTTGCTGTTTACAATCTACATGCTGCCACTGAGAGACATTATTAGAAGACATGGGATCAGCTTTCACTGCACTGTTAACCCTTACTGTAGATTATTCAGTAAATAACTGTAAAATAGCCAGTGTTTAGCTGTAATGAAAGGAAACAGTATTTTACAGTAAAAGAAGCAGGATTTGTATGAAATTCTGTAGTGCAAAGAATAAATCACAGTAATTTACTCTATGTACCCATTACAGATATTTACTGTCATAATAAATGGTAAATTACTGATCAACCATTACTGCCCCATCTACTCTGATGATTTATGTTGCTATTTATTTTTATTTTATAATTTTATATATATATATATATATATATATATATATATATATATATATATATATATATATATATAAAAAAAAAAAAAAAAAAAAAAAATAAAAAAAAAAAGTGAGAGAGTGTGTGAGTGTATGTATTTTTTTTTTTTTTTTTTATATATATATAAATATAAAAGAGAGAGAGAGAGAG